ATCCACCAGATGTGCAGATCTCAATGTAGGATAAAAAGACATATGAAATAACCTGATGCTTCCAAAACAATGCAACAACTCCCTATGGGCAGAGTTCAAGGAAAATGAAATGAACAAAATACCCCCAAAAAGAGTGATTATAAAAAGGTCAGTCAGATCCCAGAGAAAACAGAGATAAGCTACAGATGAGGTGTTCCGGAGAGAGGGATTTTGGATAAGAGCCATTCATATGTCAAGGAAATGAAGAGCTCAGTAAGTCAACGATACAGACAAGCCTCAAGAATGGATTAATCAAGCAGAAGGAAGAATGGGATGTTGAAGAAGACCTGGTCTTTGGACTGTCCTGCTGAACACTGAAATTGCACCTCACAGCAGTCCAAATGGCAGTCATGAAGAAAACAAGACATGTTACTGAGGATGTAGACCAAGGGACCCTCACTCCCTTCTTCCAGGAGTGTAAGCCAGTCTGGGCACCATGTGGTGGTTTATTTAAAAAACTAAACTAGATCTCCCCGGAAGACAAAACTGGACATGCTTGCATGTCACTGTTTGCCATAGCACCATTTACAGTAGCTAAGAGACGGAAGCAACCTAGGGGCCAACAACACAGGGATGGATGAAGAAATGTGCTTTCTACGCACAACGGAACTTTTCAGCTACACATAATAATGAATTCATTGGCAAGAAAATAGATATGACTAGAGACAGGGTCATACCAAGTAAATGAATTTAGTCTCAGAAACACAAATATTGTACATTTTCTCCCATTTGTGGGTTCTAAATTTTATATAGATACTTAAGGTTATGCTTAAAGTATATGTTCACATATGATGTGAACATAGAAGTCTTTCTATGGGAGCAGGAAGAAATGTCAATGGAGAAGCTCAGAGGCATGAAGAAAATACGCTCAGAATATAATATAAACCTGTGTGTAACTTAAGAACGAATTAAAGATCAAAAGAGAATGATCACAGTGTACAAATAGAAAGATAAAAAGGAAAAATAATAATGAAAGAACAAACGATTGGCGACCTATGTGGCAACATTAAACTGAATTAAGTGTCATCATTTACAAAATACTGAAATCCAAGAAGAAAAGAGTGCAGGAAAGTGCATTCGATGTAATAACAGCAAATGATTCACCTAATGCAGGGACAGATATAAACATCCATGGACAGGAAGTTTAAAGGACACTAAAAATCCAGGAAGAAAGTATCACCACAACGTGCTGTAGCCAAACTGCCAAAAATAAAAGGCAAATAATTTCAAAGTCTGCAAGAAGGGAAGAAACAAGTCACATGTAAAGACATCCTCACTAAGCTGACAGATTTCTCAGTACAGAAAGATGCTTTAGTACAGAAGGGAATGAAATGTCATTATTCTAAGTCTGGGAAGAAAATAACTGGCCAAGAAAAATGGATGGAACTCGAAATCTTCACGTCAAGAGACAAAGTGAAAAAGACAAATAACTACATGGTGTCTTGTACAGAAAGTAAAAAAATTTTTAAAAGACACAGGAGATCAGCAAGAGACAGGAAGATGACAAGTGAGGTCAACAAGGGTGAGGATATAAGATCAAAGCCCATCACAGATTTAAAATGCCGTAAGCAACCTGCTATTTCATATAATTATGTTGTGCTCATAATTTTATGTGCATACAGAGATGAAAGAAATGAACTTTACTCCCAACCAGGATACCCATCAAAGCTATCTGAAAAGGTACAGAAACTGTAATCAATGAAATAGAGGTAAGTTCCAGGAAAGGAGACTTTTTAAAAAATGTATATGAGTGTTTGCCTGCATGTATGTGTGCGGCATATGTGCCTGTTGCCCACGAAAGCCTGAAGAACATGTTAGATCTCCTGAAACTAGATGCGGATGATTTTGACCCATCGTGTGGATACTGGGAATGAGATTCCGGTCCCCTGCAAGATCAGCAAGTGCTCTTAACCACTGAGCCATTTCTTTGGGCCCTAGAAATTCTGGATATTAATTTTTCAGATTGTAAGAAAATATTGATTCAACAAATGCCTTTGAGATAATAGTATCCATATGCAAAATAAAATGAAACTCAGCCCTTGCCTCAGACCTCATATATGAAATTTATGTAGAAATAGAGTATGGTTTGACTATAACAGCAAAAAATAAAATCTTTCAAAGAAAGTATAGAGAAAAATCTTTATGGCTTTGGATTAGATAGTATATAGTAACCAGGAAAATATGTGTAAATCATACATTCTATTACAAATGTTCATTTAGAAGTTACAACGCAAAAAGCCTACAAAACATATATCTGACCAGAGCTTTAGATCCTGAAGATAAAATTTTTGGACCTTGTTATCCAAACAGAGATAGGCAAAAGATTTGAGTACATACTTTACCAAAGACATACAAGTGGTAAATAAAACATAAAACAATGTCCAACCCCGTAAGTCACTGGGGAAGTGTACTTAATGCCTCAGTGAGAAGCCAGGCATAGCAGCTCATGCTTATAATTCCAGCAGTTGGGAGGCCTGGGATAGATACATAGTGAGTCCCAGGTCAGCCAAGGCTACAGAGTAAGACCCTGCTTCCAAAACCAAAGCCTTAATGAGACTCCACTTCTTTTTAAGAATGACTAAGAGCTTGAAAATGAAGTCAAGGAAGGGAACGCTCGTGTTCCTGAAGAATACTGCAGTTGCTTTGCCACACAACTTATTATCTATTAACATTACAACATGCATTTAATGTGTGATGAAATGATTTCATGCCTAGGTACACAGACTGGAGAAATGTCCACATGTGCTTTTTTTTTTTTTTTTTTTTTTTTTTTACGAGACAGGGTTTCTCTGTATTGTTTTGGAGGCTATCGGTCCAGCCCGGCCTCGAACTCACAGAGATCTGCCTGCCTCTGCCTCCCAAGTGCTGGGATTAAAGGCGTGCGCCACCACCGCCCGGCTGTCCACACGTGCTTTAATGTGAACATTTGTAGTAGTCTTACTCATAGTTTACAAAGCTGAAAACAGCCTGAATCATATGAAGTGTGCTTCATTCATATAACAGAGCAAACACATGGACTAATATCACAGGAGACATTTGTAGTTATCAACAGCATCACGCAAGTGTAGAAAGCAGGTTTTAAAGGCCCCGTGATTTCACCTGTAGGTCATTTCAGAGAATGCAACACTAGAGTGACAGACAGCACACAGGAGTTGCCAGGGGCTGGGGATCAAGGAAAGAATTGACTGATAAGGGGCCCAACAATTTTTTAAAAGTTTTTTTTGGGGGACGGGGTGGTTTGATACAGGGTTTCTCTGTGTAGCTCTGGCTATCCTCAAACTCTGTAGACCAGACTGGCCTGGAACTCACAGAGATCTACCTACCTTTACCTCCCAAATCCTGGGATTAAAGGCATGCACCACCTCTGCCCAGCAAAAGAATTTTTAAGTATATGTATTTGTGTAAGCCTGTGTGTATGTGAGTGAGGGTATCCATGGAGACCAGAAGAGTGTGCAGTATTCCCCGGAGCTGAAGCTATAGGGGTTGTGAGCCAGCTGATATGGGCAGGTGCTTGGAACTGAACTTGTGTCTTCTGTAAGAGCCATGCACACTCTTAACTGCTTAGGCATCTCTCCACCTCTCCCCTAACCCAAAACCAGCAGAAATTTTTAGGATAATCGCAGAATTCTGTATCTTGATTTTTGTTGGGTTTCATGACACAAAATGACCTAGTATATATACTATGGGCAAAAATCATCGAACTATACGGTTAAGATGATGAAGGATGGTGCTGGTACCACTCTGAATCTCATAGATCCTAATCTGTGGTCAGAAGAGCACAGATACATAACACGAAGACACGGATGTGACATCTGACTATGTGGAAGTCTAGAGCTAAGTGTGAGACACAGCAGAAGCCTTCGGAAGGCTGGGAATCAGACTTGGAAGTGGAGATGGCAGTAAATCACACATTCTTGCTTTGGTAGATATGGAGATTACGGATGTTTTTGTAAATGAAACCTTTGAGATGATGGGTGCTTCAGTCTAGTGGAGAAAAATGCTTGCAATACTAAAGGTCTCAGGCCAATAAAATTAAAATTCCTCCAGCATCCATTGGTTCTTTTTCTTTCTTTTAATGCAATTAGAACCTTCTAGGTATAGGAAACTCCATCAGGCCCACAGCCTAGGTGATATTCAACAGGACCTCACTGGGAGGCAATTGTTTGTAAGGAGGTGTAGATGTCAAATAAACTGTGTCTAATCTGAAAACTATGTTGTTTCCCCCAAGAGAATGTACACCAGCGACTTGGCTATCTGAATGTGTTGAGCTATGCACTATGACTTTTGCATTCTTCTCTATGTCTGTTATACTTCAGTCGTTTCTTTTCACATTTATTGTGTGTGTTTATCCACACATGCGTGAGTGCAGCACCTGTGGAGGTCAGAGGATAACTTGTTAGAGTCAATTCTCTCTTTCTACCATGTAGGTTCCAAGGACTGAACTGAAGTCATCAGGCCTGGTGGCCCGATAAGCCATCTCACTGGCTTCTTCAACAACCCCTTAAAACACACCAAATAGTTCATTTTGTTAGGTTTCCTCCAAAAGACAAATCCAAACTGTTGTATGGCAGTACATCCCAAGTCAGCAAAGATATAAAAGGTCAACCTAGACATCAGTTTTGAGGTGTGGAAGGGCCTTGGGGTGGAATGAGATCAATTTTCACTCACCAGAGCTTCTGAACGAGGTCTGGTTTCTGACCCTCGTGAGCATTTGCAAGCATTGGTGGCATAACTCTGCTAAATTAAGTATTTATTTTTCTGCATTCATACCAAAAAATTTACTAGGTCCAAACAATGTGAATGTCTATGATTGGGGACTCTTTAAGTATAATGCTAATGGCTGGGCACCATTGGAAATGAGGCTTAGATGCTTACAAAGGTCCAGTGTTTCATTGTAACCTACAATGGCAAAAGCCAGAGTAGATACAATGCCAGATAGGACATCACACACAGACACATAATAACATAGAAAACAATATATTTTATATATTATGTATAATAATATTTATATATGTCTAGAAAATGTCATTAATCTGTGGGGTAGACAAGAAAACTTTTTAGTATTGCAGAGGACCAGGGCAACAAGAGATATCATTTATTTTTGATTCTTGCATCATACGCATTAGTCAGGAATCAAATGGCAAAGATTGTTTTGAAATCACTTGCTTATGGAAAGGTTCATTCCAGATTTTGTGCTAGACTGCCTTCTCCGGAAAGTACTTCAGCAGAGACAGGGAACTGACCAGCTGACAAAGGAACAGAGATTCCTTATTTTAGCTGTTTGGGTTTGGGGTACCGAGGCTAAAGCCCCATTCTATGTTTGAGGTCAGCTTAGGCTACATGGTGAGAACCTATCTCAAGCAAACTTAGAACGCTCTTCATGGGGGCTAAGAGGCGTGGCCCCATGATGGAACATACACTTAGCATGTGGTGCTGAGCAGGGCTTTAGCCTCCTGCTTCGTTTTGGGATTACAGGTGTGCACAGCCAGGTCCAACAAAGCTTTGCTATTGGAATTTGTTGCTGGAGATTGAACCCTGGGCCTTTGATGAGCTAAGCGAGCTCTTGTCTGTTGAGACATACCTTCAGCCCTTCACAAAGACATGTAAGCAAGAATTTCCCAGGTATGACCTGACATTGAGATACTATAGAGGATAAAAATGAGTAGGACAGAAACTCAGCCCTTGTGGAAGAAGACACTGAGAAGGAGAAAGGGAAGGAGAGGTGGGTTCAATTCTCTTCCCGAGTCCATTTCTTTTCTGCTCTTCATAAATAGGATGAGGTCACAATCTAGGAAAAATATTTAAGAAAATAAAAATAAGCGATGTATTAAATACTTCTTTGGTAAAACGTCCAACTCCATACCTCCCCAGCTCTTCTGTCTTCTTTCTGTTCCTTCATTTGGGGCTTCCAAAAAGGCATAGATGAAATGATAAGTTGATATGTTTTAGTCATAGTAAGACTCCTCCTGACAGCCCCACTGAGATGCTGAATTTCCGAAGCTTGGGCAGGGGCATCAGAGAGCATTTGGCTCTACAACACAAGTTTCTTTTTTTCTTTTTTACTTTTTCTCTATTTTTGGAGGGGTGTAGGGAAGGCGGTGGGTTTTGAGGCAGAGTTTCTCTACATAGCCTTGGCTGTCCTGGAACACACTAGGTAGACTAAATCGGCCTTGAACTCACAGAGATCCAACTGCTTCTGCCTCCTGAGTGCTGGGATTAATGGTGTGTGCCACCATGCCTGGCACAAATGAGTTTCTTCTGTTCCTTACTTGGGGCAAACACATTAGCACGGCCGAGGTGAAAAGACCACTAGAATGAAAACAAAAGTCTTGTCTACTGCTTATCACGATCCTGACATTTCTCTGAGCTTATGCTTTGAAACCCACGTTCTAAGGGTATCCTTCTCGTCCTTTAACAATTCATGATTCATGGGGGCAGGGGCGGGGGGGGGCATATTTGAATCATCTTAAAGGACAGAGGTTTAGAAACATTTCATTGTTGAAGTGATCCAAGCCTGCACATGCCACCTCTTCATCAAAATCCCACTTGCCGTTCTTGCTGGGCAGTGAGTATTGTGGCTGAGCGTGAGAGCCATAGCTGAGCAGAAAGGGATCCTGCTGAGGTGAGTGGTACGTGAGGGAAGGCACATAACTGTTGAAATCCATAGGCACTTTCTCTTCATAAGGTTCACCTCCTGGATTGGACCACAGTGGATGACAGCCAGTTTGGGCTGCAGCTGCTTCCAGTGGAATCTGTTGGGGAAAGTGCTCCAAAGAGTTCTGGGAGGGAAAGAAGTCACAGGGCCAGCTGGACATAGGCAGAGGATAGCTGGGATAGCAGGTGTCATCGTTGGGATTTCTCCCCAAGGAAGCGTTTTTATTCCAGGCTTGGAGATCATCGTATTCTGTGTAGACTCCAGGAACAGGAGGCTGAAACTGGTCTTCACTGCTGTAGATCCTACTGCTGGAGAACTTGCATTTCTCATAGAGCATGGTGGGGTCCAAGGTGGAAGTTGGATCTTCGAGCTCAGTGGTTCCCCCCAAATCGTAACTCTTGGGGAAGGATAGGCAATCATTCAGGGAGTTCTGCTGGGAGGCGTTAGCTATTAAAGGTGTGCTGTAACTGCTGGGCAGTTGGACGCCTTCCTGGAATGACCAAGTTAAAGGTAAACTTCCCTGACTCGGTATGTCACCTGGAAGAACCTGGAAAGGGAAATGAACACTCGCGTTAATGAGTTAAGCAAACCCTTATGCAGGTTCCTCAGGGGGAAAAAGAAGTTAAGCAAATCCACACAGCTACCCCAAGTACCCCTGAGTTATTCTGCAAATATCTCTTGATAAGATTGCCTTCATTCCTTGTATAATTCAACCATAGGCTGAGCCTCTCCACAGCTGCTGGGAACCTGTGAGGAGAGATTGACTCCTATTCCAATTTACAGCTTTTTAACCTGTGGAGAGCCCAAAACAGTCTGTGAACACGCTGGATTTTTAATATGCTTCATGCTCAGATGTCAGATGTCTAACTGCCTTTTTGCAACATGTATAGGATGCTAACTAAAAAAACAAGACGAAATACACACACACACACACACACACACACACACACAACCCAAACAAAACAAACATTCGGGTTCAAAGATTTATACTAGTCCTGGTACAATTCTCAGGGCTACCCCTCACCCCCACCTCCACCTCTCCCTTTTCCTTCTGCCCCATCTGGACTGGTCCAATTCTTAGCGTGAGAGACCACAGCAGCAGTGTTGGATTTACTTGTTTTTCTCATTTAGAGACTGTTCTCTGACTCATGGAAAACAGAATAGAACATAAACTGGTTGGCATCAATTTCTACATCTAGATGGAGTAACTATATTATCCCTGAGTTATCCATAGGCGAAGAAGCTGAGAGGTAGCGCTTATATTATTCCTCATGTAAGCTCTCCCCTCATCAGATGATAGTCTGAGGAGAGGAAAGAAAGATGCTGCCCAAGTAAAGCAGCTGAGAATAACGAGGACCAGTCATGTGGATCTGGGAGCTCAGGTCCAGTGAATTAGACTAAATCATGATTGCTTCTAGATAAGCACACTTAGAGCTTTCCAAGCGCAAATTAACACTATCGGACAGACAAGCCTGTTACGTTGTGAGGCCCTTGGAGTGCTGCGCCTCTTGGCACAATCTCCACACTTGCCTCCTGCCACCGGAGTGACCATCATTTCCAGAAACTTTATGTCTGTTTTGTTTAAACAGAGTCTCATTATGTAGCCCCAGCTGGACTCGAACTCTGGATCCTGATTGCTGGTGTATGTCGGTGTCCCAAGGGCTGGGATCACACTAGAGATCACCCAGCTTAACAACGATCTGATTATTTAGATCAACAACAGTTCTCAACCTGTGGGTTGCCACTCCCCGGGGGTCACATATCAGATATCCTGCATCTTAGACATTTGCATTACGATTCATAACAGCAGCAAAAATTATAGTTATGAAGTAGCAACGAAAATAATTTTATGGTTCCACAACATGAGGAAGTGTATTCAAGGGTCATAGCATTAAGAAGGTTGAGAAGCACTGATTTAGATGCAACTGCTCAGACACATTCAGGATGATAGACCATCTGATTATTTAGACAAGCTAAGAAAACAATCTGTATGGAAACTTGAAAACAAAAACTCCAAAACCATAAGGTTAGTCACATTTTGAGAAAATTGTTTTGATTAATTCTGTTTATTGGAACTAAGATGTAGAGTTGCCAAATATAAGTTAAATACTGATTTCAAGTTCCTTTTAAGAACTTATAATAATGAGTCAATGAGCATACTGAATATTTGCAAGGCTGTTTTAAATAATGTAAAAAAAATTAAGAGTAAAATCTCAGATTCACTTTGCCCAGTGTATGCTTGCTTATAGATAGGCAAAATAGAAGAATGTTTGCTTTCATTGGTCTGAAAAGGACCAGGGCTGTCTACCACGCCCACTGCAGGGGTGAGGCCTTGATGCTTTGGGGCAGCTGACCTTCGTTTCTGGGCTCCCCTTCATCCGCAAGGAGCCAGAGGCCGATGCCATATGCACTTTCTTCATGGCTCTTCTCGCCTCTGCTTCCAGCTTGGTTTCTGGTTTGGGATGGTCATGTTCTCCTTTCGACTAAAGAGAGGCAAAGTGGTAAAATGAAACAAAACTTAGTAACTGGACGCACTTCCCCTTCCCAGGATGTAGCTTTTGTTCTCTGTCCTGTCCTCTCCTGTGACCTGGTGCGAGCAAGGCCACCGGCTGCAAGGGAACTCTTCCTAAGCCCACTGGCGCTCCTGCCTGCCTCCGGTCCCGTGAGGCCTCCTCCGTGCGTGGTGTCTGTCTCCCATCGTGGCGCCGTAGCATGTGCCCGTCATGCGCATCTTCTCCCACTTAATCTTTGGCACGCTGCTTACAGACGTACCATTATTACCACTCCCGTTGACAGAATAGGAAACTAACGAGGCCTAGAGAAAGGATGCCATCTGGATAGCCTCTCTTAGTTAGTGGGCCCCGGGATTGCCACAGCGGAGCTGGGAGCCCAGCATGAAACACTGAGCTGGCGTTAACTGGCTGGTAGCTGGAGTTCAGCCGCTGTGGGAACAGCTATGTCACAACTCGCCCAACGGTCAAGAGCAGGGCCATGTCTTTGGGAGCGCTGATTTGTCACTCCTTCACGGACGATCTGACACCAGAGTCCACTCGTCACCTGTTCAGGCCCCACTAGTGTTTCTCACAAACTTTGCAGAAAGGCGGGCTTTCAAGGAGGAATCAAGTTGCTCCTGTGTACAGAGCTAGGGCTGACTCAGCACTGGTACTGAGGCTGCGAGCTAAATGCTGTCTGCTCTAACCTGGGCATGCTCAGCTAGGCACCGCCCCTCCTCAGGAGTGGAGGCACCCTGCCTTTCTGGGTTTTCAGCGCTCCACCTCTGGTGAAGTAGGGCACTGGGCGTTTGCTCTCCCAGAGGGTGGCACAGTCCCATATACCCCTATACCCCAACCACTGATAAAATTCCTCCATAGGAAACACGATAGACACCTGCCACGTGAAAGAGAAGCTGAGTAAATGACTCAAGCCCAACCTGGAAAAATATGAAGCGCCCGTCGTGCCTCCAGAAGTTGGTGACTGGAAAGCCCCCGTGGCCTCTGCAGGGAATAAGCTTCAGGGGACCATTGCAGTTGGGACAGCATTTCCCTACAGAGGAAGCAAGGAAAGAGCTGACTAAAGCCATGGGCTGACTTAGGAGTTGGGAATCTGGGCTGTCCTGCTGGCGGCTTTCAGCTTTGGTTCCATGATAGTGGAGAGGAACACACCCCCACCCCACCGCCACCCCCGCACAGTCTCAGGCGCTTCCCGCCACTGGCTCTTACTCATGGCCAGCATTATGTCTACCAATGGCCAACTGGGTTCACACATGGCTACTGTTAGCAGCTGCCTGACGAGTGGGATTATTTTACAGGTCAAAGCACTCTGCGGAACAAATGTTCCCCCTATTTATTTACTAATATTAAGTATTATATATATATATTTTTTATTTTATGGTTAGTAACTCAGATTGAGGGGCAAGAGATAGAAAGAGAACACTTGCACAAAATTTTTCACTAAGTTATAAATGACACACACACACACACACACACAGAGAGAGAGAGAGAGAGAGAGAGAGAGAGAGAGAGAGAGAGAGAGAGAGAGAGAGAGAGAGAGAACATCGAACATCTCTGCGGGCAATTATCATTTAGTCTTGTTGTGCCACTCCTGAAGACTGTGTTCACTGGGATCTCCCCAGGACTCAGGTGCCAAGCAGCTAGACTGTGAACTAACTTTCTCCTAAACTTTCCATGAGTCAATCTCTCTCCAATGCAACGGGGGCATTCATGAGGGGACTTTGGAGGGCTTGTAGGCGGAGATGGTGTGGGGGCTGGAGGGGAAAGGTCTTCCTCTAAGAGAGTTCTTGTCAGATGCCTTGACTGCCACCTAATGCAGCGGGAGGGTCGGCTGGACCCCTGGGACACGTCCACCCTGGCTGGAACATCCTTGCAGACTCCAGGCCCCCTTGCTGCCGCCCCCAAGCCTCACTCACTCTGCTGCTTCTGCCGGGCTTTGTCACAGATGGCCGGCCTCAGGTAGATCTTGCGGCCCTCCTCGGTGGAGCAGTCCCTGCTGCACACCACCACGCCCAGACAGGACTTCTTGAGGATGCGCGAGTTGTGGTTGTTGGTGTTGCGCATTGCCCAGCTACTCAGGTGGCGCTGCGCGCTCCTGTCCTCCGAGCTGTAGATGTGTTTCACGTAGGAGTCGGGCCACTCCTGGAACCAGTCAGTCTTTTTCACGTTCTGACAGAAGCACAGAGGTTCTGTTAGCAGTTTCACCCAGAAAGCCCACCCGTCTGCCTCTGTGGAGTTGATAGACGTAAAAGGTGTCTGAGCCATCGGGGCAGAACAGGAGGCCTTCGGCAGAGCCTGACCCGAGTTTAATCCTGGTGCTGCAATCTGTGAGCACAAACAGGGTTTCTCAACCTTCCTAGTGCTGCCAACTTTAATGCAGTTCCTCACGTGTGGTGGCCCCAATGACAAATTTATTTTTGTTGCTGCTTCCTAACTTTTGCTACCGTCGTGGATCGTAATGCAAATGTGCGTGCTTTCCGATGGCCGTAGGTGAGCCCTGTGAACAGGTCATTTGATCCCTAGAGGGGTCGTGACCCACAGGTTGAGAACTACTAGAGCAGTAAACCGTCTGCTGTGCCTATCAAGCATTTGGTCTCTTGAAGCAAGACGAGAGAATTTAGCCCTTCTGGATTCTGATGTTTCTCCAGCCCTTGGTAATAACAGTAATGGTAATTTCTCAGCAAGAATTTTTGAGGATGAAGTAATCTCACCATGCTGTTTCATAATAACCATGGAAAGCACAGTGAGATAATTTCTTATACCACACTGGTTACCGTACCGGGAATCACTAAGTCACCAGACATAAGCAATGCAGAGCTCAGGTTCAAAGAGGTCTGGAAACCCACGATTCCCTCCACTGTCAGTTTCCCTGTTTTTCTCTACCCCTCAGACACACAGAAGACTCGGGAAGAGCCTGTGTGCTCCCCCAGAGCTGCCCTATTCCCTGCATGCGAACATCTGACTGGACTCTGCTGGGCAAGGCCAGAGCTGTGGGTCTTGAGTTTCAGCTCTGGAGGTAGGCTAATGCAATGTGTGGTGGCGGCTACTCAGGTGCTGTCAAAGCAGTCATGGCAGCAGATTGCACGTTAAATTTTGAACCAATATAAAATCACATTGAAAATGTCCTCAGAGCAAGGTGACACAAGACACTTTGTTTTCTGTTCTGTTCCTGCATGTGTAAGACAGGAATGATGAGACTCTCCTACTTCCGGAGTTCTGAGGAGTAAATGCTATGCATGTAAAACACTTGTCACAGCATCCAGCAAGCTGTAAATAAACATCGTTGCTTGAGTGTGGCTCATTTCCCCAGGCCCTACAATGGTGATTGATGCAGCAATGACAGATCCTGCCTAGCACTTAGAATAAGAATCACCCTAGGTTGACTCTGTGCCCATCACTGTGACTCAGAGACTTGGCATAAAAATAAGAACAGTTTTCATTTAGACAATTCTCAAAGGTCATGGTAGAAGACTCTGGAAAAACCAGAAAAAGAAATCAAGGTACCAATCCTTTGCTTTCCCGACAAGAATATGCAAAACAGAATATAAATTAGCAAAGCCAAGAAATGTCTGGGGAGAGATGGAGACAAACGCCAGTGCCAGGATGTGTGAGCATCCCCCCCCCATTACCCTTAGACTTCCGCCCCAGAGGGAGGGGTACATCAACACCTGTGCTGCTGGGAGGCACCCGAGGTCCAGCAGGCAGCTGCAGCACTCCCCTACTGGAAGACACAGCCAGGGAAGATGTGCCGGGCTGTCTGCAGTTTCTTGGTTGCTGTGGCCTTGATGTGGTTCAGTGTCCACATGAGAAGCCCCCTGTAACCTCAACACCTGTCATCTTCCATCACAGAAAAGCCTAGCAGAGTATTTTACTTCACTTTTGAAGGGTTTATTTTAGTTTTTGATTATGTGTTTGTGTGGAGAGAGGCGTGTGCATATAAGTGAACCCCAGTCTTCTGCAAGAGGAGCAAGCACTCTTAACCTCTGAGCTATCACTCCAGCACTGAGTAGTTTACTTTTGAAATAATTAAAATGCAGATTTAAACACTAAAATATATATTTACCTTTAGTCATTTTAACTACCAAGAATTGGTGGATTTGATATGTATTATTCTAATAGGACACAGGGGTATCAAGACGAAGACAGACAAGGGGGGGAACCGGGATTTCTGTGAAAGTGTCCCACCCACTCAATCCTGCCAAGGTCAGAACTACAAATCCCATAAGCCAGGAGAAGTGAAATGTATTCACGAGAGCCCCTTATGCTCTGACCAAAGCAAACACTTCTTGTGTGTGGAGGAAGTGAGGACTCTCAACATCTTTGAAGTTATTTCTTCCCAATTGGCACCCCATGACACCCTAGTTTTCTCATTCCCCTAATAAGGTAGTAGTGTACAGAGTGAGGAAACTACTGAAAGGAAATGTGAACGCGTGAAACTCCTCTCTTGGCTGTTGTTAACTTATTCTGTCGTTTGCCTGGACTTTTGGTGGAATCTTTGGCAACTTTTTATATTAAAATTGGGATGATGGTGGATCCAGATGTCCAAGACTGAAGGAGTATGGGGAGGGCATTTCTGAAAGCCCGTGTAATTTGCCATGAGGAACATAAAGTTTTAAAACAAAAAACAGTGGTTCTTAACCTTGCTAGCAATTCTCAGAAAAAATGCTCCCTTCTATTTAGAACCTTTGTTAATTTAATTTCTAACTTTTCATAAAACACTTTCTTCTTTTTAGACACTCTGTTTACTTTAATTTCTAACTTTTCATGAGTAACTCTTTGTTTTTGCTCTCGGTTAAGAAGTTTATAATTGAAAGGGAATATCCTTTAGTTTTCTCAACATGTTACATCTAACAAACTTATATTTTAGCATCCCTTGGTTAGCATCATTAGGAATTTAATTGATATTTCTAGGACTTCTTTGCATACTTTTGTTACGAGGAAATGTAATCCTATAATTTACTCAGTACCTTTTAGCTGTATGAGAATACAAGGACACTCTTTATATGACCTTCATTGTAATTTAATTTAGTCATTTGAAGTAGGCTAGCATAAAATTATATATTATTATTATATAAAATGAATAAAATCAAATTCTTAAATAACACATCAAAATATTCACATTGAGCTGGGTTGGCAGGGTGGCCCATGCCTTTAATCCCAGCAGCACTTGGGAGGCAGAGGAAGGTGGATCTATGTGAGTTCAAGGCCAGTATGGTCTACAGAGTGAGTTCCAGGACATCCAAGGCTACACAGAGAAACCCTGTCTCAAAAAAAAAAGAAAGAAAGAAAGAAAGAAAAACAAACAAACAAACAAAAAATTTGCATTAAGCAAGACGAGGTGATTTTTGCCTGTAATTCTAGTGGCTAGAAGGGTATGATTTGGGGCTCATCCTCTGTGGAGGTTAGAAGAAATTTTGTTGGCTAAAACCTTAATCCAGTCATGAGCTAACCCCTTCACATTAGACTCCGCCATTTTAAAGAATGTCTTCTCTATGGAGAAAGTGAAATGGACTCAAGACTTGGAGCTGGGTGGACAGTACAGTTCAGTGACAGTGTACTTAACTAGCGTTCCTGAAGCCCTGCATTTGCCTACAATACTACAAATCAAAACGGAATTAGCTAGGCAACATGATACTGGTAATCTCAGCTAGAGCAAAAGCAAGAGGGTCTCGATTTGTAGCCATCCTGAGCTACATAGTGAATTCAAGTCCAGCCTTGGCTACGTAGTGAGATCTGGCCTCAAAACAAACAAGAACAAAACCATCCATCACCAACCAAACAGCCAGATTGAATTGTGTGAGTAAATGTCTTAGTGTTGTTTTGGCCATGGGTTTGACCTGACAGCCGCTCAGGGCCCAGGAATAAAATGCTTGAAGAGTCTGTGACGTTAATAGAACAACCCTGCTTCAGCTTAGAAACGCCAGGGCTGTGAGAATAGTGGGCAGTTCATTCCCTGGGAAATTAATGCTATTTAGTAGAAAAGGACATTGAGTGTCTCTTCAATTTTCAGCCAAAAAAGTTACAATTTTGTTTCTCAACTGTCATAGTCTGTGGGACAAGTTTAAAACTCTCTAGGACCATATAATCCATATTTTGAGTAAAAGTAAGACAAGACCAACACCAGACATGGAACATGCAAAGTCTGCAATGATTAATTTTGCAGGTGCAAATGTAATTTAAGGGGAATAGAACAGGAGAATGTAACTGGTCTAGTACACTGGCCTACAATAAGACTTCTGTTGTGATAGTGTAGTTAAGTGTCTGTGCTTTGGGCTGATACCATAGTGGATGTATTAGGAGAAATGGAAAACTGGGCACATGTGCTCACAACAGTATCCCCACTACTCAGGAGGCAGAAGTCACCAGTTTGAGGCTAGCTTGGTCTACAATGTGACCTCCAGACCAACTAGGTATAGCTATACAGTTCCGTTAGCTGGAAGGCTAAGACAGGAGGACGTCTATGAGTTTAAGGCCAGCCTAAACTACATAGTGAATTCTAGCCCAATCCAGAGTGAGACCTGTCTTAAAAACTTAAATAAATAGTGTTAGAGGGATGGTTCAATGGTTAAGAACTCTTACTGCTCTTTCACAGGAACTGGGTTCAATTCCCAACATATGTATGGCAGCTCACTACTGACTGTAACTCCAGTTCTGGAAAATCCATTGGCCTTTTTTTTCTCCCGTGGGCACCAGATGTTCACATAGTACACGGACATACACACAGGCAAAACACTCAAACACACACACACAGAGAGAGAGAGAGAGAGAGAGAGAGAGAGAGAGAGAGAGAGAGAGAGGAGGGAAGGAGGAAGAAAGAAAAAAAGCTAAATAAATATGAACAAATAAATGAACCACCTAGCAGGCCCAGGCTGGTAAGTCTAGAATCCCTGGATGCCAGAATCAATAGGAACAGAAGAGACCACAGCGTTCTGCAGCAGCTTTTTCAGAGGGAGGAAAAGGAGTTTGAAGAGGAGCAGAGAATTCTCAGAGGCCCTACAAATAGAGAGAGGCACAGCTGGAACTCAAGTCCAGGGCTGGTATCTCCAGGTCCTCAGTTTCTCATTGGGTACCCTCTGCCTTCAGACTGCTCTGAAACACACAAACGTGTTGTTGAAAACTTCCCGTGATCTTTCATTTTTCACCTTAACTGGTTGTAGATATGACTCTAGAGTACAGATAAACCCAGATCCTGGATGGGGTTGCATCTGCTTAGACCATTCTAAAGGATGTTTGCACTTTTCATTATTGCCCTGACTTTTACAAGCTGGATAGCTTTTCTATAAGTCACCTTTCACCTGTTCTGCAAAGGGTCTATTTCCAGAGCAAGAGCATACATGTTTGTCATGGACCTTCCTGTGTGGTGACCCAAGGAGTCAGGAATGCTTTGGAGTTTGAAAATTCATGCTGGAACAAGAGCTTCTGGGCCCTGAGTTTCCCTCCAGGGAAGCTGTTCTTTCTCTTTTGTTTATGGAGCTGATGGACAATATGTATGGTCAGGAAAATCCCATTTTTTTAACTTTCTTTTCTTTTCTTTTTTTTTTTTTTTAACGAGACAGGGTTTCTCTGTATTGTTTTTGGAGGCTGTCGGTCCAGCCCAGCCTCGAACTCACAGAGATCCGCCTGCCTCTGCCTCCCGAGTGCTGGGATTAAAGGCGTGCGCCACCACCGCCCGGCTAACTTTATTTTCTTTTTAAGGCCAGTCTCAGACTGGTGGTGATTCCCCTATTCCTGCCTCCTGCGTGGCGGGTTACAGGCATGCAGCAACACACCTAGAAAAATGCATGTCGGTACACAGGGTTTCCCTGCCTGCCAGTTTCCAGTCCTTCCGTATCTGCTGACCTCAGCTCTAGATATTATCTTCAGCTCACATTTTGGGGTTTCAAGCATGAAATGAAAAATCGGGGGAAATATGGGTCATTGGGCCAAAAGCAACTAAAATTGACTCTAAAGCTCCCCTAAAACAGTGACAGCAATTGCAGCACGAATCAAGAACTCCCACTGGAAGTCTGGAAAAATGGATGTTTGCCTGGCTTTAGTGATGGCTTATTTGCCCCCTTGAGTGAAATGAATAGGTATATTTTCTGTCTTCCAGCTTTCTCAACATCCACCAAAGGAGACCCCAAGGGGGAAATTAAGAGAAAGAAGCAAAAGGAAGTGTCCATTAGAGTGAGAACCCAGAAGGGTCATGAGCTGACACTGGAATCCCCAACGGCTCTGCCCTGCTTGGTCCCCAGGATGGGACAGACGTTTGGTACTAGGGCACTCCGGGTTTAGTGCTCATAGTCACCCTTTCAACCAATGTCTAAAGTATCTGTAAACACCAGGGGGAGAGAACAAGATAGCCAAGAACGATACATTCGGAAACCTGGTTTTAATTAATGCTTTCCATAGATTTAGAGTTCAAAGGTTAGTTGCTAGCTGGGCCTGTGACCCCCAGCATTTAGGAGGCAGAAACAAGAGGGCTGAGAGTTCGAGGCAAATGTGAGCTCCTTTGGGGACTTAAGGCTAATTTAGGCTGCTGAGTAAGACCTAGTCTCCCTCTCTTCCTCCCTCTTTCCCTGTTTCTGTCTCTGTCTCTGTCTCTCTGTCTTTCTGTCTCTGTCTCTCTCTCCCCCCTCCCTCCTGGGTAGGAGTAGAAGCCACCCAGTGAGCCCAGGGGCGGGCAGTGTTCGCATCCGTCCCTCTAGAGGAGCTGTGTTGCGCGAGGGCACCACTGTTCAGATAGGCCAGCCTCGGGTTAGCTGTTAAAAGTACTATGGCAAAGAAGGTGCTACGGGGTCTTTCTTATGTGTTAGGAGCAGTCAGTCCACTGGCAAGTACTGCAAACTGTGCGCTAAACAGAGCGAGCCAGCCCTGAAAGGGAGGAGACAGCGCTTTCTTTGTCTCTGTCTGTTCCTGGGGCGTCTGGGAAATAAAGGGCGCCCAGATCCCAGGCCTTACATCTCCCCTTGAAACACCTCAGTTGGCTCTGTGGTTGAAACTCTGAAGCAGGCCAATTGTCGCATGCTGGGGGCAGTCCCGTAAGCACATACCTGCGGCAGTTTCATGTCGTTAATATCCCAGCTCAGTATCTCTTTGTCTTCAGGATCAAAGTCGTCGGGGTCCATGATAAGGTCGGGTCACCACGGGCTTGCCTCTACTCAACGTCTCAGAGCCGTGTTAGAGCACTCTCACTCTCAAACCCGGGTCTGCACACAAGCAGCCTCGGGGCTTGCTTTCCAAAGCTAAGAAAATAAACGGTAGCAACACTGGTGACTTCAGAGATTGAAAACTTTGAAGCCAGATACGGTGGTTCATACCCCAGGGGCTGAGGCAAGAAGACAGCCACGAGTTCAGGGCCAGCCTGAATTACAACGTGAGACTGTGTCAAAAGAGGGTGGCGGCGGCTTAACAGGTGAAGGTGTTCGCTACCAATCCCGAAGATCTTATCTCAGTCCCCGGAACCCACATGGCAGGAGGAGAAAACCAACTCCCACAAGCTGTCCTCTGATCTCTGCACAAGTGCTCACACACTAATAGATATTAATAAAATAAAAAGCAAAGGAAAGCAATATAAAAAAACATTAATCACCTGTCCACCACAAATAGCAATTCCATTGACTTTTTTTTTTTGCAAGTACCAGCTGCTAATGCAAAACAAACTTCAGAAGCCACTAGGCTTGCTACAGTAGGCTTGTCTGGGGTTCCACAACACTGGTCACAACTTTTACCTTCAGGTTTGGAGTTCCTTCCTCCCCTTATTGCTAGACATCTGGGTTGTGAGAGAATTTGGAGCCATTATTGCCTGGAGCCAATGACTTAGACTTATTTCTACATAAATTATGTAAGTTTACCTAAAGATACAAAATGAACGTAGGATATATCCCATAACAATTTAGATTAATGAATAGGTCCATAGATAAATCCCACATCCTGTTCCTCACCTTTCCAAGATCAGCTACAGCCCTGTGGTAACAGGCTCCAAGAAACATGAAGTCCCTTTCCCCGAGTGCACGCGAATGCTGGCATTCAAGACTAAATAATGGAGAGGGTTCTGTCCTCCCCGGTTTTGTTTCTGAGTTTGTGGTGCGGAGGATTGACACCTCGGCCTTGCGCTGCTGAGCCCGGCTCAAAGCCTTACAACTCTAAGTAAATTTCTATGTTTAGGAAATAAATATTGAGCTGCTGCATAAAAATGGTTGACACCTTAGTTGAGACAGCTTCAGTGACAAAACCAGAAGATGTAAACATTTAGTCACAGTGGCATCCGTAACTCTGCTATCCCAAACTTGGTCATCACTAATTAGAACAGATATGATCCAAAGCACACTTTCCACAAAACAGAACAGAAAACAAAACAAACAACCTTTGGAAAACAATATCTATATTATCAAAACCTAAAATTGCCGTTCTTCACTGAGACTAGATACTTGCTTTTAAATTAAGAGAAGAGGAATAAAATTTTTACTCTAAAAGATTACAGTGATTTTTAACACCCTTCCCTAATCAGGCAGTGGTGGCTCATGCCTTTAATCCCATCACTCAGGAGGGAGGCAGAGGCAGGCAGATCTCTGTGAGTTCAAGGCCAGCCTGGTCTACAAGAGTGAGTTCCAGGACAGCCTCCAAAGCTACACAGAGAAACCCTGTCTCGAAAAAAACAAAAAAACAATCAATCAATCAAACAAACAAACAAAAAAACCCAAAAAATCAAAAAACCTACCCTTCCCCATACACACTTTTACAGAGTCAGCATTAATTTAGTATTTCCCTAAAAAATTAAGAACAAAACACAGAAAGAACTGCCTTATCCCTTCAATTAGTAAACTCAATCTTTCCCCAGGATTAAAATTTTTAAAATCTATTTTTTTTTAAGATTTCCTTTTTTTTTTTAAGTGTCATGATCAAAGCATGTTCAACTTTCACCATTTTTACAGACCTGGGGCTGGAATAAATGAAGCTGTGTCTTAGAGACACCCTCAGCGCTCCCGAGTCCTTCCTCCAGGCGTCTTGTCCAGGTGTCACACCAGTGTCAGCTCTCGTTCAGGTCCTGCAGGCTCTGGTCATTTCTGAGTCGACTTGGTTCCCTAATCCAGGTCAGGGTACACTATGCTAATGACTCTGGCAACCGTCCAATCAAAATCAAGATTCTTTCAGGCAGGGACAGGTGGGAGCAGCCCATCTCTTCTCAGGGTGCCAGCCATGTGACGACTATTCTATGGTGTGCTCCTGAACTTTCCCCTCCTTTATTTTAAGAGGATGTCTAACTAAAGGAGATGGCGTGGGGGCGGGGGGGGGGGGGCCCTGGGAAGATGTACAGATTTCTTATTGTTTTTCCTGGTGGTGTTATAGTCCAAGAGCGGCTGATTCAGGTACTGCAGTTTCCCATCTTTTGTCCTGCCTGTGAGAGAGAGGTAGACACAGAGACCCTCGGTGGTAGAGACGACTGGTGATGGCAGAAATGATTGAAATACTTTTCAGTCAGCTAACATTCCCGAAACCAGAAACATTATCACCCTAACTCTTTATAGTGTACTGTCTTCCAATTAATTCAATTCTTCCTCAAGATGTCCTCAGAGCGTTCTTTCCTCTGGACACCAGGTCTGCTCAGCTCCTCAACTGTGCCTCTGGGTCATCTTCAGGGCTCTGGAGACAAAAGGAGACTTGAAGACATTGAGAACTTCTGTGTAACTCAGGGTGCTGGTGCAGGGATGTAACAGAGAGTGTCTCTGTGAGTTCAAGGCCGGCCTGGGCCAGACAGCAAGGATCTTTTCCCAGTGCCATGTCTAAGCCTGCTCCATCTTTCAGGTCTTCTAACATGCCCTTTTGATGCCTTCCAACATGGTTCTGAAACACATACATGATTTCTCATTTCAATAGCATTCCAGAACTCCTAACTATATCACTTAGCACTAACATTTTTTATTATTTCCAAATAAAATCAACACCTTTTTTTTTTTGTCATTGTTGCTAATTCATTTTTGCAAACTTCCAGGGATTCACATTACTATTTTCTGGTTATGTCCTCCCAAACTCTTGTTTTTTTTTTTTCTCTATATACCAGATGTTGATGCTGTTTACTTGATTCTAATCCTGCTTGAGGGATGGCCTCTCCTTGTCGGCAGGGATCTGTCCTGGCGTCCCAGTTAGGATCTGCTCTGAGCTGAGGTTGTTTCTTCCTTTTTATCAAAGGAAGACCGGCTGGGTTCCAGCTGCAGTGCCAGAGCCATCCCTGACCCACATGCTAGTCCTACCTGGTGACATCAGAGTGAATTCCACATCCTAAGGATGATATCTCAATTTCCAAATCCTGACCTCTGCTTACTGGCTCTGTTCATTCTTTTGTGTTTGTTTTCTGGTTTGCTTGTTTGTTTGTTTTGAGACAGACAGTGCCTCTTATAGAACAGAGTAGTCTCTAACTTACTGTGTACCAGAAGCTTGCTTTAAACTCCTGGACACTGCTGGGTGTGGTGGCATGTGCCTTTAATCCCAGCACTCAGGAAGGAGGCAGAAGCAGGTGGATCTCTGTGAGTTTGAGACCAGCCTGGTCTAAAGAGCAAGTTCTAGGACAGTCTCCAAAGCTACAGAGAAACCCTGTCTCGAAAAATAAAAATAAAAAATAAACAAACAAAAAACTCCTGACCTCCCTTGCCTTCTCCATCTCCCAACTGCTAGGATTACAGGGGGTAGCACACACACTGTGTTAACGTGACTGACAGCAACAATAACCATAGCGATTTCCCTGACTGAGCTGTCACAATGAATCAGATGCTAAACAGCATCTATCTCTACCAGTCCCCTACGACGCCTCCTTCAAAGGCATGGCCACCATGTTCACTAGGTACTACTCATGCATTTCTCGCTCACAAAGAAGAAAATCAAGCCGCAGAGCAACAAAACTGCACTGTCAAATATCCCGGGGCAGAACTTCAGGGGACTCTGATATGCCAGACATCCCGTGCTCGTCAGGGTCTTCGATCTTCGTTTCAGCCTCTGTGCAGGCAGAAATCTCTGTATACCTTTCCCATGTCTGTCTCCTCTCTGGACAAAGGACTCACCTTAAGCCATGTGGAGTAGTTGACTTTAACCAGTGATAATTCCTTCCTCTCCCTGTCCCTGCCAGTCTATTGGGATTTTTCTGCTTATTTCATGGGTGTAATAGTAATGGTTAGGCATTTGGGAGGGATAACTTTTGTTTGCGTGGGACTGTCTCATGCACGGAATCCTGGACATTACATCCCAGCAGCATCCCCCTCTTGGGGGCAGTCATAACCCAGTGTCAGCCATGTTTGCAATTGTCGATTGAGGAAACGGGGAGAACCATATTATGCTGCCTCTCTTTGGTTCAGGACCTCTTTGCCACTCTTGGTATCAATGGCTCTGCCTAACTACGGCCTCTGGTTTCTACCTAGTGCATGGACTTCTACACTTACAACTGTCCTTCCAGAACCTGTTTCAGTCAATGCTCCTGAGTCTAATTCCCAACTTCTACCATCCCTGGTCTCTTTATTGAGAAGGCTTACCAACTCATTCTGTGTTAGGTATCATTTCCAACACTTAGCCCTTACAACTGCCTCAGTAAATAGATAATCAAGCTATATTAGATGGAATTGTAAAGTAAGGCCCAAGGAGGTTAATTTTTATGAGATCATTAGTAATCTTTTTTTTTTATTATCCCAAAGCACTGGTCAATGGAGAAGGATGATGCTAAAAAACATTTTCTTGGATATGGAACAAAACTGCCTGTCATTCTGGTTCCTTCTGGGACCAGCATTCCGCTGCCTCCTTACCTTACCATCTTTCAGAAACCTGCCTTCCCCCTGAGGCTATCTGTTAGAACTTTTCATCCCTTCTGGCATGGGACCCAGCCTGACCCAGCTTTTCCCTGGAATTTTCCAAATTAGAGATGGAGAAGGTGAGTCTTTCATCTCAGATGCCGAATGGAAGGTTGACCTCAGACCTTCTAATGAGCATCTCTGTCACACAGCAGAATCTAAGGGGACAGAAGAGAGGGATGGCTACGAGGGGAACAGGGAGCCTGGACTCCAGCCTGAGGCCAGCCAAGTCCTCAAGCATGCCACAGGTGACACAATAAATGTTTTGCATACTTTCAGTCCTTAGAACTAGGTTT